AAGAGCTCGAACTCCTGAGGGTAAAATTGGGGAAAATCGTGCTTACACGGAATCCTAACAGTGAAGAACATAACCTAGAAACAAAAGTGAGATTAAACTGGCACTTTGGTATGTTTGGGTTTGGAAACGCCTAGACAGTGACAGATCTTTTCATTGGGCACTTGAAGCATTCTGAACGCGGGAACGTTGAATCAGTTTCCAAGTCTGCAAATCATTGCATACTTTTCATACCGAAACGCCCCGAGTAGGTTTCAGGGAGACCACTCTGGGCTGAGCAGTTCACCTGGGAGAGGGGCCAGGCGCCCAGCGCGGAGCTCGGGGCCACCTCCACCCTACAGGCAAGCGCGGGCGAGCGGTCGGTCCAGAAGCTCGGCCCTGCCCGCCCCGGGGAAAGCCTACCCGACCCTGGAGCAGACAGCCGGGCAGGGGGGTCTGCGGCGGCCCTTACCGTACAGGAAATCATAGGTGCGACTGGAGGAGGTGTGGGCCCCGGCCCGCAGCCTATTCCTGCACCGGGACGGAGACCCCTGCGTCTTGGTCCGGGGCTCCTCGACGGTCACTACGTGGCTCATGGTGCAGTCTCTGTCCTCCGACCTACGGGGGACCGGCCGGGAAGCCCGACTGCTGCGTGCACCGTAGCTATGGTAACCTCGGCCGGCTCCCGCGGGCCTGGGGGTGGGCGGAGCGGGGTGGAGGGAGGCGGAGCGCCCTGAGGGAAGGAGCCGGGCGAGAACCGAGTACTGGGAAGGAAGGGTGGGCGTGGGAGGGGCAGAAGAAGAGAGTCGGGGAGGTGAAGGGGAGAACCAGAGGAAGGGGCGTGCGTTGGCGGGAGAAGGTCAGGCTTGGGCTGGGACTGTTGAGACCGGGCCTGAAGCCTTCAGCCCCCACTCAGGGTCAACGCTGGCTGTCGGGGAGGGGAAATTAGGGGGACTACCCTTCAGAAATCTCTCATCTGCCAGTTACACCCGCAGCCTCTTTCGGAAATCTCTAGGAAATGTCAGAACCTTCTAGGAAAAAAAAAAAAGAAAGAACCTTCTAGAATAGTTGGGTGCTTTCATTTCGGAAAGTCCCTTTGCACTGGGGATTTGTCCTGAGAGCTGAGGAACCCAGGCTCCTAATGGTTGGGCCTTGGCATACAGTGAGCTTGCATTTAGGGTGGGCTGGGAAATCCGTAATGCGGATCCAAGGACTGCTTGCCCCTTACTGAGCCTGAGCATTGGGATGTTGGACTAAGTGGTGGTGACATGGTGGAAGCACTGGCTCTGTTTTTTTAAATGGTGATGAAAAATTTCATACATAGGCAAAAGCGAGTCCATTTTTAGTAATGTTCCCCTCAAGAATCTGTTCATCTGTGAACATTTTGCTCACATAGGTTCATCTCCCCTGACACACACACAGAAGCTTGTTTTTTTAAAGAATTATTTAATTTTCTTTATTCATTCATATATTTTAATTTGATCAGAGAGAGACAAGGAGAGAGCAAGGGAAAGTAAGAAAGCAAGCTACCAGGCACAGGACTCAAACCATGGTCGGCCATGTGGGAGTGTCCAGCGCCTTAACCACCATGCTACCTGCTGGTGCTAGAAGCTTGTTAAAGAAACCCCAGATCATTTTACCCCTAATTAATCTGTATCTCTCAGACTGAAGTTTTTCTTTTCCTTAACCACCAATATTCGTACATATTCAAATTTCCCTGGTTGAGTCTAAGATATCATTTATAGTTAATTTGTTCCAGTCCAGATTTTTAAAAAAAGAAGAAAAAGGTGTCATTGTTACAGTTTGGTATGTCTCTTAAATCTTTTATCCTAGCAGTGAATTTTAATACTTTGAATAATTCGCTTATTACCTGAGGTTCTTCCATGAAAAGAACTTTCTCAAACTCACTGGTTATCATGAAATACCAGATAGTTGAATTTCGAAGAAATGGGTTGGTGCCCTAGCAAACTCCAATGTTAACCACACAGTTTTAGCTTGAGTATCATTATGAATGTATGCGTTTTTACATAGCTGATGGTTTAGTCAATTGTGATCATTATACTTTATAATGTTCAAATTATCTCATTGGGCTAGTGGCACGCCTTATAGTTAACTTTTTTTTTTGGGGGGGGGAGGTTTTTGTGATGAAAAATTTCATACATAGGCAAAAGCGAGTCCATTTTTAGTAATGTTCCCCTCAAGAATCTGTTCATCTGTGAACATTTTGCTCACATAGGTTCATCTCCCCTGACACACACACAGAAGCTTGTTTTTTTAAAGAATTATTTAATTTTCTTTATTCATTCATATATTTTAATTTGATCAGAGAGAGACAAGGAGAGAGCAAGGGAAAGTAAGAAAGCAAGCTACCAGGCACAGGACTCAAACCATGGTCGGCCATGTGGGAGTGTCCAGCGCCTTAACCACCATGCTACCTGCTGGTGCTAGAAGCTTGTTAAAGAAACCCCAGATCATTTTACCCCTAATTAATCTGTATCTCTCAGACTGAAGTTTTTCTTTTCCTTAACCACCAATATTCGTACATATTCAAATTTCCCTGGTTGAGTCTAAGATATCATTTATAGTTAATTTGTTCCAGTCCAGATTTTTAAAAAAAGAAGAAAAAGGTGTCATTGTTACAGTTTGGTATGTCTCTTAAATCTTTTATCCTAGCAGTGAATTTTAATACTTTGAATAATTCGCTTATTACCTGAGGTTCTTCCATGAAAAGAACTTTCTCAAACTCACTGGTTATCATGAAATACCAGATAGTTGAATTTCGAAGAAATGGGTTGGTGCCCTAGCAAACTCCAATGTTAACCACACAGTTTTAGCTTGAGTATCATTATGAATGTATGCGTTTTTACATAGCTGATGGTTTAGTCAATTGTGATCATTATACTTTATAATGTTCAAATTATCTCATTGGGCTAGTGGCACGCCTTATAGTTAACTTTTTTTTTGGGGGGGGGGAGGTTTTTGCTGTAGGGTGTGTGCACTCGCCAGAAAGAGACAGACAGACAGAAAGCAGAAATCACCTCCCAGGGGTGATGGCCACACCGCAATCCCTTCTCCTCCATTCTCCTCTCAGGATCTTGGGCACGTGCGCGCGCACACACACACACAGGCCCAGCGTGAATTTAAACCACTGGTTCTGGAACTTGAACTGTGGTCGACCCCATGAGTGGGGGTCCAGTGACATAGACATTACACCAACTGTTCCCTATAGTTAAGTTTTCAACATGATCCACAGACACATCATGAATTTCCTGCCTGCTACTCCTTTCCGCACGCACTCCTGGTTTTCCCTTACTGTGTCTACTCCTTCACTTCTTGAGGATTTGGGAAACCACCCATGTATTTTGTCACTTCCAAGCCTTTGCTCAAACCAATTCCTTTGCTTCAAATGCCTCTTCCTACATATGACCCTGGTGAAGATTCTCTGCTTGGCCAAATCTGAATCAGACAACTGAACCTTGTCCTAGGGTTCTTCCTTATAAAATCCAGTTTTAACAAAAAAAACTCTGCTAAATTGATTTGGCCAGAACCCCTGCCTTCTGTATATAACTCCCCTCAGTACCTAGTTGGGATCTTTATCCTCCATTTCCCAGGTGGCATCTGGTCGTTCTGGCCTGTGTTCAGCAAGAATTCTGTTGAGCATTTGAGTCAGCATCTCCCTTAGCCTGATCTGTCCTTGAGTAATGTTTCATCCACCAACCGGCATCCTGCTCCCAGTTCCCACTTGCCGGTGCTGTATTCAGAGATTGAGCCCAATCTCTCCCCCACTACCAGACCTGTTGCAATGGTCTTTATGCTTATGGTACTGTTTCTGAATATAACCTGCCTTACCATGCTTTCACAAGTATCATGGAATAGTTTCTCTTCAACACTCCCCAAGTAACACAGCTATTCTTCAAGACTCAACTCTAACTTTGCCACCTCTCTGCAATTTCCCCAAGCCTCCCAAATCCAGTCAGATGCCATTCTTGCTTCCACAGCTGGGTCTCCTAAGCATCTTGTGACCATTGGTTTTACCTCATGAAATTTGCCCACCTCTCCCATGTCAACATCAGGCGATTAGAGGCACTAAGCCCTGCTGGTTCTGTTCATTGATTAGATCATCTTTATTGCAATCCTCAAACAACATATGTAGAAACCAGACCCCTGTCTTGGAGGCAGAAAGTCTGCATTGATCTTTGACTGGCTGATGTATGCTTTGTTATTAACTGTGTAACCTGAGCTCATGCTCCCTGACAGCATAGATCACTTACCAACCAGAGGTCATTGGCACATCCTGTCCTCTTCGGCTCTGTGTAAGTAAGTAAACTCATGTTTTCCCCTGCTGGACCTCTAGTACGTTCCTTGGAACCAGTAAACATTACAGGCAAACCCTCACATATTTGGGACTTCTACCTGACAGCACCCCATAAACATTAGACACTGTTCTTTCCTAAGTCCAGCTAGCTTCCTTTTCTGTTATTATGCATCACAAGTTTCCCATTTACTTAGGGCTAACATTTGATATTCATCTTAAAATTTGGGAGCATTCAAAGGACAAATGTATGGCTAAAGAATAGGAATGAAGGGCGAGCAGGTGTTGTAGTGGTTAAGGTGTTGGACTTCCACATGGTAAATCATGGTTTGAGTCCTAGACCTGGAGGCTTGAAACTCATGCTGGGCATGTGTGCATGCATGCCCAAAGTCCTGAGAGGAGAGTGGAGGAGAAGGGATTGCAGCATGGCCATCTCCCCTGGGGGGTGGTTTCTCACTTTCTCTCTCCCTGTTTCTCCAACAAGCACACAAAAATCTATAATAAAGCACTCTAAAAAAAATAATGGGAATGACTGTTAAGGACATAGTGCATGTACTTAAACTCACATGCAGTCCACATGCTTTACATTTAGTAATGTTATAAAACATGGACTTTCAACCAGAAAAAAGCAAGTGGTATTTGGAAACAAAAATTTTAGCTTCAGTTGGCTCATTATGTGAAATTTTAAACTTACAGTTTGATTTTTTTTTAAATATAATTTTTTTCAAGGCACATTTAATTTAATATAGAGAGTGCAATACAAAAGGCTCAAATACAATGAAGGAGCACATTCCCCCATTAACACCAACAACGATGCTCTTTTAACATGTGCCTGTTAAGTGGAATGGGGATTTCACCACTTAAAAAAAAAAAAAAAAAAAAAAGTCATGCAGTAGGTCTCATCACAGGCAATGTCCTTATACAATCTAGTTGTGAAATGAATGTTTATAATGCTTCAAACAGTTTTGACTTGGAGTTTGATACTACACCTTCATGTTTGTACAGTCCTCAGTAAGATTATCTACAGTTTTTGAAACCATTCAAAGAACAAACCATTGATTAAAGCCAATCAAGTCAAACAGAGCCCCAAATTAAATGGTTAAAGATATGCTCTACTTGTACTGACATCATCATTTGATTCTCTCATGACTATTAGAGTTCGTTCTTAGCAAATAAACTCTTTATAGGCAAACTTCTCCTCATTTGAGTTTTAACCCAGAAGTTCAGTAACAATCATGAAGTCCACAGTCTTATTGGCAAAACTGACATACAGTGTCTAAGTCACTATGCTCAAGGTTCAGAGCGATGCATATTCCATCTTTTCATTCTCCTGGAATTTTACATGTTCAATTCATGATTTA